GATTTGTGAGAATTTCTTCATAAGATGAGATCCCAGTTTTTGATTCTTTGAAATATTCCATGTGGTTTGTGTATTGTTTATGAATCTTTAGCCTACCCCTATGTTTTCAATATTTCTACCTACCTTGTCTTCTAATCAATTTAGTATTTCTTTTTTAATATTTATATTTTTGATCCATTTTTACTTTAATTTAGGGCATGGCAATAGACATGGGTTTAATTTAAGTCTTCAGAATGTAAACCAATTTTCCCAGCACCATTTATTAAAGAAGCTGTCTTTATTCCAGTGAACATGTTTAGTCCCCCTGTCAAAGACAAAGTGGCTGAGTGTCTTTGTAGTTGTGTCTACAACTGTTCCACTATTCTAATCTGTTCCACTGATTTTCAGGTCTGTTTTTGTGCCACTAGCTTTGTAGTATAATTTTAAGTCAAAGATTGTGATGCCTCCTACCTTGCCTTTTTTGCCAATATTGTCTTTGCTATTCTAGGTCTCTTCTGATTCCACATAAATTTTAGGAATGCTTTCTCTAGATCTGTGAGGTATGCTAATGGTATTTTGATTAGGATTCCATTAAATCTGTGTAACAGTTTTTGGAGTATGGTCATTTTCCCCAAGCTGGTTCTTCCTATCCAAGAGTAAGGGATATCTTTCCATTTTCTGGCATCCTCTTCAAAATCCTTTCTTAGAGTACTAAGTTTTCGATGTATAAATCTTGTACATCTTTTGTTAGACTGATTCCTAAGTATTTCATTGTTTTGGATGCTATTGTGAAAAATGTTATTTCCATAATTTCTTTCTCAATATATTTGTTGTTTGTGTACAGGAATGTTATTGATTTTTGATTGTTGACTTTGTATACAGCTACACTGTTGAATTTGCTTATTATTAACTCTAGTAGTCTTTTGATAGAGTTTTTGGGATCTTCTGTGAAGAGTATCATGTCATCTACAAATAATGATAATTTAATTTCTTCCATTCCTATCCTTGTTCCTTTTAGTTCTCTCTCTTGTCTAATTGCTCTGGCTAACATTTCCAGAACCATATTGAATAAGAGTGGTGATATGGACATCCTTGTCTTGTTCCTGATTTTAGAGTGAAAGCTTTCAGATTTTTTATCATTTAATATGATGCTAGCTGTTGGTTTGTCATAGATGGCTTTTATCAGATTGAGGTAGAGACCATGTATTCTGATTTGCTTAGGGGTTTTATCATGAGTGAGTGCTGGACTTTATCAAAAACTTTTATTTGATTGTCCTTAATCCTAAAGGCTGCTTGGCTACTTGCTTACTTCTTGCATGTGCCCTTATCACAGGCTTCTCTAACTACGCATTCAATCTCATTAAACTAAGCTATTACAAAGGCACATGTATTTTGCATATGTTCACACCTGAACTTCGGTGAAATACATTAGTTTCAACAAACATAGTCTCAAAGTACTATTAGTCTACGGAGTTCAAGTGAACACAAGTCTTCAGAAACTCTAACTTGTTGAGTCACACTTCAAATGTGCTGGATACATATGTCATTCAAGTTATTGTGAAAGTCAATAGATAGCAGGTCATATTTAACTATGGAACATCCTGGCACCCTCCCCAGGTCCCACTCTCCTCCCTGGTCTAACTTTACTTTCTGTCAAAGGCTTTAACTCCCATTTCTGAACTTGATAGTGGACATGAGTTTTTCTACATAGCTAACAGGGACACCTGGACTGCTCAGTGATGAGAAGCAGGACAGAACTGCCTCCTTAGACAGTTCTGATCTGGTCTGCGACACCCAGTATTGCAGACTTCATGGTGAATGAAATATATTCGTTTCACAAGGTCTTCACAAGGTTACACAGGTCTTCAAAGACGCAAAACTAAAAATCAGGCAACTTCTAGGTTAAAATTATTTATGGTGGTAAAGTTTTGAGCTCAGACATTGGGCTTTCCCTCAGTTATTGTTTAGCTAGTTATGATAACCTTCCAGAAAGAGGTGCTGCTATGGGTGTGTTATCGGTGTGTTGTGGGTGTGTAATGAGTGTGTTACAGCACTTAATGATGCTGGAACACTGTAGTAAAGGCAGTGGTATATAAGAGACATGTTGTCTTAAATGGCACTGTATTAAAGAATGACAAATTTATATGATGACTAAACTTATATTTAGTGGGATTTAATGATGTATTCACGACCGTTATGGGGAAATAACTGCCTCCTGTATCCTCCTGTTGTACATACTGAGATTCATAGCCAGCTACTATTAGCTACAGAACAAATTTACAGCAGCAACATGAGCTGGATCATTATAATGTTATGCTATTTCTCTGAAGGGCATATCTCATCAATTTACTATAATACTGACAAATATCTGATCCATATTCTTCATGGTGTTATTTCATATTTTCCATGGCATGCAAACCCATCTATAGAAAACAATAGTGATTATAATGTAATGCTAATGGCTTTGAGAGGAGTTATGGCTTATGTTTAGATGTCCCCAAAGCTTCATGTGGTCATAGGTGAGCATTGGTGGCTGGACCTAGAGTGTGTGATTGTGGTCCAATGCCTGGATTAAGGGTGCCTGATTACTAAATCGTCCACTGATTGGTTTGCCACCACTCTAATCCCACTAGTCTGGATCAGAAGAAAGTGGCAGAAAGATATTGTTAAGACCCCTTATTACTTTTGCTATCTTCCGCCCCCATGAGTGGTTGCCCCTCTGCCATGTGCCACCCTGTCTTGGAGCCAGCAGACTGTGTTGTTAAACCTCTACAAACTCTGAGCTGAATAAACCGTTTCCCCTCAGCTTTGAGTGTTGAGCATTTTGTCTCAGCAATGAAAAAAGTTTAAAACAAGTGATAAACACTTAATAAGGCGATTCAGACCTTTTCCTTTGGGGAATCCTGGGTATTAGCTAAGTTTCTTTAAAAGTGTGTTTTGTAAGTTTTGCCCTCAGAGGTTTTCAAATGATGCAAGACATGAACTTTACAAAAGATTAATGATTTTCCTGTTCACTTTACTCTTCATCTTTCCCTGTGAAACTTCACAACTTAGTAGGAATCTTTCAGTCTCAGCAGAATCCTAGAGCTGTACCTGTATGTCACAGAGGCTTCTCCAAGACAGTGTGATGTTCTGCTTCACTTTCAACACATCTTCTGCTAAACTGAAATCTCTTATTTGTATGAAAAAAGTTGTAACTCATGTATACCTTTTAGAGTCATTTCCTAAAAATACATCTGATGAGGAAGGGTTGTTGGATGATTGAAGCACTGGAATTATTTTAAGGTATGAATTTCAAAATTTTGGATAAAATATTAGAATATTCTGTTTCTAAATAGATTTTTAAAAAACTTTATATAGTAAATAACTTTGGAAAGAATCAGGCTTCGGCAACTGCTTCTCCCTAGGGGACCTGGCACCCAAATCTTTACTCCATGTGAGCTGTGTCTGCTCGGTTACCTTCCACACAGTTCTTTTCTATGGATTCTTGCTCCGATTTTCTGGGTCGGCACCCAGGTCATTCAGGTGAATGCCCTTCCCCACACATAATCTCCAAATAGCAGCTCTTCTTACCTTAGCATCTGTCACTGTCTGAGGTTTGTCTTTCCTTAGTTTTTGTTTTTATTCCCCCTTCAATGAAGTGCAAGCTCCCAGGAAAAATCTCTATTATTTAGTTCATGTCTGATACATATAGACATCAATTTGATCTTTCAGTAAAAAATAACTAAATAACAGCACTATGGAAACATTTTGAAATCAGAAAGATCATATGTGATAGCATTAATAAGTGAATTACGTAAGAGGAAAATATTCAAAATGACAAATACATTCTCTTGTGGTCACCATTTATAAAGAAATCAAATACCGGGAAGTCTAATAGTGTGATTCTGAATAGATGCTTGTACCCAAAGGACATAAAGTATATGAATTAAATCACTTTTTCTTCTCCCGCTCCTTTTCGATATACTAGGATTTTATGAACTAAAGACAATACAGACACTGAACAACAAATCTTCAGTTACATCCTCTTGCTCAGATACAAGAGGATAGAGGAAGTTATGTGCCTGTGTTGCATTATTTAGTATAAATGTACGAGTGAGTTCACAATCATAACCACACACAAGAGCACACGTTTTGCTTCTGTATACAATACTGGGGATGCAGACACACTATAGATACATGAGGCTTTGCATTGTTTTTCTGATAGAAAAAGGTTTGTCATAAAACATGGTTCATAGTAGTGGGACACAAATGCCCAGTGAGTAGGGAGCACACCTTTGTTTAATGAAGTTGTATTTATCTTGTAATGAGCGAGTGTTGAGAATACAGGATTGGGTGAGCTCTTATAAAGACTACTTCATTCTGTTTTATTTTCCTGGATTTTTTTCTTGTGTTTCTTACTAATTATTCCAATTCCATGGATAATGTGTAATGTACTGTGTATGTCATGTAATGATCATATCACTGTAGTTAGCACATGGCTCACATTAATGGTCTTTCATATCTCTGTTGTGAAAACATCCAGAATCTTTCCCTGTAGCTATTTGAAGTATGATAAGTAAGCAGAAAAGAAAGAGTTCTTTACAGTGTAAAGGGAAATAAGGCAACCCTCAAACCCTGAAAAGTCCTTCCTAAATCTCTGAGTGTCAAAACTCTAAAAGCAAAACTGAGACCGAGTTCATATATTACTAATGTAATTTTTTATACTGGGGTGGGGGAAAAGAGGCATCTGGCATGTAGCTTCATGGTAATGACCTATTTAATACCTGTGAGACCCTAGATTCTGTCATTAGCTGGCAAGGGAAGAGGAGAAAAAGGGAGAAGGATGGGAAGAAATGAGAAAATTTGAAAGGAAAGAGAATTTTTAAGAAAATGCTCAATGGTATGTAAGTTACAGAGGTCACATTGTTCCTTTGCCATTGAATATCTCTGAATATTAACATCACTGTTTTTGGGCTGATTATTACTTTTCCTCTTTTTGTGTATGTCCTCATCCTGACAGGCAGAGAGGAGGCTCTAGTATGGTCAACGTCACCTTGGTGACAGGGTTCCTTCTTTTGGGGTTCTTTGAGGACCCTTCATGGCAGACACTCTGTGGCATGCTCTTCCTGCTGCTGTATTTGGTGGCCCTGATGAGCAACCTTCTTACCATCACTGTTCTCAGCCTGGACCAGAAGCTTCAAGCACCCATGTACTTCTTCCTGAAGAACTTGTCCTTGCTGGACATCTCTTTGGTGTCTATTCCAATCCCCAAATTTATCATCAACAGTCTGCTCCATGACAATTCCATTTCCATTCCAGGCTGTGCCTTCCAGCTCCTTTTAATGACTTCCTTCTCAGCTGGTGAGATATTTATCCTCACTGCCATGTCCTATGACCGCTATGTAGCCATCTGCTGTCCCCTGATCTATGAAGCCATCGTGAATAGCGAGGCCTGTGTGTTGATGGCAGGAGTTTCCTGGGCCCTGGGGCTGCTCTTTGGCGCTGTGTACACAGCTGGCACCTTTTCTGGGCCTTTCTGTGGCTCCAGTGTGATATCAGAGTTTTTCTGCAATGTGCCCTCTTTGCTTAAGATTTCCTGCAGTGATACACTCCTGGTGATCTACCCCAGTCTGGGCATTGGTGTGTGTCTGAGCCTGTCATGTTTCATCTGCATTGTATTCTCTTACATTCACATTCTCTCCACTGTGCTGAGGATTCCATCCCTGAAAAGTCAGTCAAAAGCTTTTGCTACATGCCTCCCCCATCTCGTGGTCTTCTCCATCTTTATGCTCAGCGCATTCACTGTTTACCTGAGGCTGCCTTCAGATGCTCCCTCAGTCACCGACCGCCTGCTGTCTGTGACCTACACCATGCTCCCTCCAATCCTGAATCCCGTCATCTACACCCTGAGGAACAGGGACATGAAGCAGGGTCTGAGGAGGCTGCTGCCAGCCCTGCCTGCCTGCCAGGCATCCACCGCTTAACATACCCTGGTGTTGGTGCCCAACACGGTCCCTCAAATGTGGCATGGGGTCTCCTCATCCCTAACTTTGGGAAGGTCTGAGGCAGGCATAGGTCCATCTGTGCCTCTAGGAAGTCAATACCCGATGCCTGAGGTCAGCATCTGCAGCCTGCAGGCCAGTGCAGGTGCTCTTTAAGCAAAGCTCCCCCTTGGTGGCTGAGCTTTCTGAAAAACCTGGCTGTTATCATGAGTGGATTTCATTTTTGGTCTTCTAGTAATTCAATTCTGTGCTTCATTTGTGGAAAACCAAAGTTCTGAGATGGCACAGCGGTCTCCATACATGGACAGCACCTGAACCACACTGCCATGGCTGGTAGGTGCTGAGGCAGAGCATTCACCTGCAAAGCCATCTGCCACCCTGCTGGGGGAGGAACAGCCAAGCCGCATCCTCCCAAGGAACCCTGGTCACCTGGGTGGACGATGTCCAGCAGGGCACAGGGTACCTCCAAAGCGGTGGACCAGAAGATCGTTGTGCCGTCTATAATTGAGAAACGATAGCATTTCTGAAAAAAAACTGTAGAATCTGTTAAGATTATTGAGAAGTCATGAGGCAAAGAGAGATTTTTTGCTTCCTCACTGTTATCCATGATGCAAAAGACTTCTCCCAACCTGTGTCATTCCTACAGAAATCCTAGATTTTGGTAGAATAACTTTTGATTATCTAGGGAAATAAAATGATTTTTTCAAATAATATTCCATCATGTTTATAGTCTTTTTCAGTCATGTTGAAACTAACTTGGACTAATGGAATGGCCAGATGTAGGCAAACATATTTACTCATATTCTTAAGTATTCTCTGATAACTATTTTCATTTTAATATATTAAAGTCATACTAAAATAAAATAAAGCCTTCATGATATCTCTTACATGTGGATTTCTCTTTAAATTTTCTCAAACAGGCTGTGGGAGATCATGTAATAATTTGTTTTAATTCTTGAAACCAAGGAATATGTTAAACAATTATATATCTTTGGTGTGAACATGAAGCTATTACGGAGTTGGATGAAGAAAATGGCCACAAGGAAATGACCCTGAGCCTCAGGTCACTTATACTGCTGAAATTTCATAGATGTACATACTTAGGAGCTTGTCTATTTCTTGGAAAATCTCTGGAAGGGTCTCAGTACTCTCTCTTCTGATATTATCACAAGGGAAAGTGCGGATTGGAAAACTGTTTTCTTAATAAGATGTAGAGTCATGGATACAGACGATTAATAGAAAATCTTCAAATTTTAATCACTTACTTTGTAATTGATTCAGGCAGGAATAAGGCATGGAAGTTAAAACAACTTGAAGAGTTGCTGTAACCCAGCCACACTGTGATTTTCTTTTCTCTTGCAGGAGCTCACACCATCCTTTCTCCCTAGTTTAACAGCAGGTGCAGCATGTTCTCTTTCTTCTGGTCAAGCCCACCAGAATCTCTCTGCTGCTCCCATGACTGTCCACTGACCAATCAGCTCACCTTCTGTTACAGCTGGTTTACAAGCTTGACTAGCAGATTGTTCCACTGCCACCAGCAGTCAAGAAGTCTGACAACCTGGATGTTATCCAAACCTGTGAAACTCCGAGTACCTAGCTCCTCCCCCGGGCCCCTTCTTCCGGGGCATTAAGGTTCATGCATGCTGAGGCAAGTTGGACCTGCATAGGTCCCCATTGTCTTCCTGCTGCCTTCTCCATTTAATTTTCTCTACTTCACACAGGTTGAGTCCTGTCTGCTACTCATGGAGCACATGAGTCTCAGTCTGAGGCCAGAGTTGTGACCTCTCTGACCACATCCTGCTGCACTGACCATGGCAAGAGGTGTCTCTCTGTGTGCTAGTCACATATTGGAGGAGCCGGAAAGCAGACATCTGACTAGTTTGTCATGAGGTTGCAGCTGGTGTCCTGATTGGTCTGCAGTTACCATTTCCATGGTGACATCCTTGTGAGGACCAGGACGATGCTAGGGGTTAAATCACACTTTAAATTCACCCTTCCTTCACCCTGATCCAGAACCTTCTCACGGAGAGCTTCTTGTTACTTTCTGTAAATTTCTGCTGGGAAAATCTGCCTTTGTAGATCTGCCTTATATCATTCTTATCCTTTCTTGTTTTTGCTTTTAAAATTTAAAAACAAATAAAGTCTGTGCATTTTAAAATATAACAAAGTATATCAATCTATGAGTTTGTGTGACAAAGTGTGTTTTGTCTCGATGTTAAGCCACATCATGGACCAGAATGTTAATTACAGATAATCAGTTTTGACCCAGATGGTTCCCTTTTCCCACTTTGGATCATTGGGCTAAAGATCACGGTGAAGAAAGTTTTGCTGTTGACCAAACACCAGAAACAGAGTGAGGCACCAACCACAGGTCACAGACTCAGGTGAGTTGAGTTGAGGAGGGGGTAGGGGCACAGGCTGGTTGGGAGAGGGGCAGGCAGTGACTTACAAGGATTGAGGTGTTGCCCTTTATGTGGTCTGGTCCTTTCAACCTCACTGTGACTGTCAGCTGTCCTGGGGGTTGAGCAGGTAGTGGGCCAAGTTCCTTGTTTCCAAAATGTGAGTAAGGTCAATAATTGCAGAGACCCCGTGCATAGGAGAGGACTGTGGTCATAAGTGTGACTGAGGAGTAAACCTCACCCTTCTTTCCCTGGGTCACTAAACAGTGACCATGTCAGGCTGAAGTGCAGGACACCAGGTCCCACCTCTGTTCCCAATCTAGGAATTTCCCCTGTTGTGTCTGCAGGAAACATTTCTCTTTGGCCAGTTGACAGCAGTGTGGTTTTTTTCAGTTGTATCTTTCCCAGTCCGTCTTTGCAGAACATAATGATTGGATTCTTTCTGGAGAGTTGGTACATGTGTGAAATACCTCTTCGTGAAAACATCTGTTCTCTTGTCTTCCTTCCCTCCACTGCTTGTCTTCTTCCCATTTGCAAAATATCAGTTTCTCTATTTATTATTTTTAAATTTTGCTCTTTATTTATATTTATATTTTTGATTTATTGTATAAGAGAAACCACACCATATTTCAGCTCATGTGTCTGATTTATTTCACTTAAAATTATGGCCTCAAGGGGCACCCATTTTCCTACAAATAACTCAAATTTACCCTTTATTCCAGAGCAGCACTCCCTTATATATAAAAATATACCACATTCTCCTTATCCATCTGTCTGCTGAGGGTCATATGGGCCACTCCAAGATTCTCCCATTATGAGTCTTGCTTCTATAAACATGGGCATGCAGATACTCAGTTCTAACACAACTGAGTCCTTATTCCCACTTTGAATCACAGGGCTAGCAGTCAAGCATTGAAGTTTGTGCAGCACTGTAGGAGCATGTCTCCAACTCTTTCAGAAAGATAACTAGAAGAGGAGTAGGTGGGGCTAGTGGAACTTTAATTTTTTGAGGAATCTCCATAATGAATAGAAGCAATAGCAAACTCCCTGCCTTAGGGAGAAAGCATAATCTTTGGGTATTGTTGAAGGAAAAGACAGTCTAACCCGAATTTAACCAAGCCTCAGAACCAACATCCAATTTTCACGAAAGCAGAGAACAACGTAACAGATCAAACATGAATTCCACGTGAGAAAACATCAGGAAGACATGGGGAGTGGAACATTCTAAGGAGAAGAACTTGGAGCGCTCAAGGGGGTACTGGACAAAATGACCCTGTGAGTCCTAGAATGGGAAAAACTCGCATACATTACACACTCCCAAAACATGAAGCTTATAAAGTGCCTGGGAGTAGGTCTCAAAATACCTTGTTTAGGAAAACAATTTTTAATTATTTAAAATATAAAATAAATTGGTCTAATTTGATACCCATACAGTGTTCTGGGAATATAGATGAGAAGCCTCAGGGACATGCCAGTTGTCCTGAAGTAATCATTGAAATTTATTAAACAGTCTAATAAGTCCCTGTCTGAAGCGTGTAATCAATTACATATGTTTAAAAATTAAACTAGGGGTTAAATGTGCAGCCTGGAGCTAGAATGCATGACCAGCATGGTTGAGCTTGAGGACAGATCACCCAGCACTGTAAGAAGTCAGTCAATAACTGAGTGAATGAAGGCATATTTAAGTGGTAAAAACAAATTATTGGAAACCTTGATTTAAAATAGAATTTATCTTTTCATTTAAAATTCACATATGCAACTGAGGAAAATCAAAACAATTTTTAGAAAAGAAAAATCAGGACATGTAGAAGAGGCGGGTGTCAATACTCTTACAACATTATGACCACTAAGGGGGGGACCGTTCAGTGACAGCCAAAAAGCGGTTAAAGAAGAGGGGTGAGGAGGACACAGCAGAGATGAGGTCTTTCCTCAGTGGGGAGGCCTGGGATTAAGGTATCTTCATTAATTAGCATCATGTGTTTGAAAGATCCTGTGAAAGCTATGTATAAGTATTTTCAGGGGAATTAGACAACCCATGTGATCATCAGAACGCCAACACATTTCAAACATACAAGGTACAACCATGGCAAGGAATTTCTTAAACAAACAAAAAGAAAACTCTGGAAGGAAATTAGTGGTAACTTTGTATAAAAGGTTCAATTTACTTTTATTCAACAAAAGTATCATAGGGAAAAAATAAGTGCCTCAGAAAATAATTCAAAATTTAAAAATACTTCTCAGATCATATGTACATATGCAAAATAATAAAATAATTTAAACATATCAAATATAAAAGAAAATATACAAATATGCACTTTACAGAAAACATACAAATAATGAACATTTAAATTTGATCAAACTCAGAAATGATTAAGAAACAACACATCAAGGTCTAACTTAGATGATTCTTTACAGTTACTAAAATTTTCAAATTAACATTCATCAACTATAGGTGGAGTCATGGAAAACTGAGAATGATGAAGGCTGTAAATCTCAAGACCTTCAGCACACAACTAAAGTTTCTAAAGAAGTTAAGCCAGAGAGAGAGAGAGAGAGAGAGAGAGAGAGAGAGAGAGAGAGACA